AAGCGCTCCTGGAACCCCGACGAAGCCGATACCTCGCGAAGCACCGTCACGTCGCTTCCTGCAGGTACAAGAGACTCCAGCATGCAGATTATCATCCGAATGGAGCAGGTGCAAAGCCTACAGGTGATGCAGCGAATGGAGAAGACGCTTGCCCGGCCAGATGCTGCTGGAGCGTCATATGAATGGCTACGCGACTCAGGCTGTTCCAGCTTAATCCAAGTTATGGGCCACCTGCAACTCCGGGGGAGCCCCTCCTGTAGTGGTGATGGTGATACACAGGGCGGCTCTCATAGTTGGCGCACTTAACGCCAATCTCCAACTTTAATCGAAAAAGTGGGCGCGCGCAACGTACGTCTCCAATCTTTATCGAAAAAGATGGGGGGTGGGGAGCGAGTGTTTGTCGGGGGTGTGATGCTCATTTTGCCCGCTTGGTGATCTGCTTATCGCTGTTATGACGGCCTCCAATGCCACCTATTCGGCCTTTGCCTTTCGTCCTGCTCCTGCGTGCCAGGCAATGCTGGCCCCACCTTTGGCAGGGCCAGAAGCAGAGGTGCGTTCCACGCTCGAGGTCGATTTCCCAGCAACCTTGGACGATCCCTCTTGTGTGTGTGGCCTTGGTTTTGTACCATACTTGGTCTCCTGACATTTTCAGACATTTTCACATGCAGGCTGCCAAGGCGTCTGGTGGTGCGGAGGGTTGCCGCCGGGAGCTTAGCAGCGCATGCAGCGCCTTCGGATCCATTGGCCGCTTCGGTTGACAACGGAAGGCTTAGGTGGGTTCTAGTTGGGTTCCGGTTGCGTCTCTTTGCCTCTTTCTGGAGTGCAATCTCACATGGACCAAATAGTGGACGTCAATTCAGCCAGGCGAGAGGGAAAGCGAGAAACAGTAGTAGAAATCTAGGACCAACATGGACCGAATCTATTGCAGCTCGAGTTCAAGAGCCTACGTTACAACTACAACAGCGGAAGGTGTTGCGTTGTCAAGAGCCTCTCTGGCTTGCTCCATATTCCACACTGGATTCCACACTTTTCGTCTGGAAAAAGTGTTGCTCTTGGCCAGGTCAGGTATTAAAGCGGATGCTGCTGCGCGGATGGCTTGGAGTGAATGCAACCCTGCATACTGAAAACATCTGACAAAGCGGGCTAGACGTCTTCCGAAGCTCCTCGAAGCCGTGATCGATTCAGGCTGGCATCCCGACAAAGCGCTGCAGGGAGAGTCTGCTGAGGCCCGTCAGAAAGTTCACTTCTGCGCTCCCCAAGGAGGATCAGATGCGTTGTTTTGCATTGCATCGGGGCAGCAAGGCGAAAGCGGCCCAGGCTGAAGCAACTCGAGTGCTGGCGGCCAAGAGTCAGATGGGGCATCTACTTGTTGATGAAGGTTCAGAAAGCTTGCGTACTGGGGTGTACAGAGAAAAGGAACAGCGCAGGTCCTTGCGTGGCCAGCTGCTGAAGACCTTGAAATCGCGTCTCCCCAATATTACATACGGGGCCTTCGATTCCTACCCAAACATTCAACACGGGGTCCGGGTCAAAATTGCTTGAACACGAGGGAAGGTTTTCAGGGTAGCAAGGCAAACTCGCTCGTGGAGCAGCACATTGAACTGGACAGCAAGCCGCTTTACATTTTCAATTAAATCTTGGGCTGGCATCGAATGCAATCCTGCCAAACCGTAACCATGCGATTGCGAATCATTTGGGTTGGCGCCGTGTTCAATGCCAGTGTTGTGACCTCAATCTTGCCGGTACTTCCGGGGAGGACTGCGAACTGCTCTGCTATGGGAAACGAACGAACGATGGAGGGCGTAAGAGTCGTGGCAACATGGGTTTTCCTACATATTTTTGCATCTATGTATATATATATACAGAAGCATTCTAATAATAATCGTCGTCATCATCCTCATAAGACATCAGATATCCAAATACAATAAGAATAAACGGGAAATGGCCTCCCTCGTCACTTTGTTGTGTTTTTCACCTCTAAGCCGGTGTGCGCCGAGTCTGAGAGAGCAGCCCCGGCAGAACCGGGTTGTCTCCTAACGTGGTGGCATTAGACGGTTTCGACTGATCTCCTAAGCAGAACACAGCTCCCTGCATAGGTGTTGGCCGCTTACACGCTTCACCCTTGAGCTCCTCCCCTAACTCGCAGGGAGCGGTCTGTGTAAACCAAACCATCACCCTCCTACTCGTGATTATCCTTGTCGCGGCTTGTCCCCCTAAGTGCTACACAAAGCACAAGTGGTCTACCACAGGGTTTTTTTGGGGCTGGTGATCGTCCTACTCCAAGCGTTTCAAATGTGTAGTCTTCGTCCCGAAGTTGCTTCCCTGCAGTGTGGCTAGTGTGCCTGGCTGGCAACAAAACCTAAACCTTGCATGTTACTCAAAGCTCCCTAAACCCTAGAAGCCTCAAGCCCCTAGCCACTTCGGCTTCAAGCCCTGAGGTGGACTTCAGGGTTTGACGGGAGGGGGGGGGGGTCCCCGATTGTTGTTTTCATATTAGGGTGGGAGGGAAAAGCGATTGGAGAGCAACGGTAACGACGTCTGCGAGGTTGCGCTTCATCTTGCAAGAAAGAGACCGGTCAACACCTCAGCAGTTCCTCTCTTGCTCCGTGCACTTGTTCGGGTGTGGTAGTATTCAGATATAGGTACATACGAACTTATTCCCATGCACCCCTCTTCATTGCCAAAATCCTCTGCGTGAGGGGATGCATGACACAATGTCAGTGCTTGCTCTAGCAGTGAGAATGTTTCACAAGATGTTAGCAAGCTAGTCCACCTAGTGCCTGCAAGTCCCAGTCTGGGTGTTGATACTCCCCGAGGGCTGCGAAGTGCTAAATTTATCTGGGAACTTCAAAGATAGACTGTCAGAAGCCGTGATTTTCTCAAATCGAACTTAATTTAGGAGCCCATGGCCCATGAGGACTCAGAACGCAGGGCATTTCAGGATTGCTGCCAGAACCGAGAGCTGTTTTTCTCCGCCAAGCGGTGAAGATGCCTGGATCCTCCACTTTGTGTGGAGTTTGTGGTGGGCGTGGCGGGGGAATGTTTCGTTCCTCAGTAGCTCCCTCAAAAAAAGTGCAGCTCGTCACTGCTCCGTGGTTGGGCGAACTGCTGTCTTTTTGTTAGTGTGGGTCGAGGCTGGGACTTTGATCTCCAGCCGAAAGGCGGCTCCGTTTGAATCTGTTCAAACACATACGGCACACGGTTGAATGAAGTTGAATGCGCAACAAGGCACGCAGCAGTAAGTCATGGGAACTTCATTTGCGACACCTGCCTTTTGCAGGCTATCCACATCCACTACATCGGGTCGTTGTTGCGTGATGGCGTCGGTGCGGTGCTCCACGCAAGTTTCACACTGCCGCGTAGGCATTGCGCCATGTCGGCTGTAAACACCTCCAAAGCAGACATCATTCGTGACAAGACGAGTGTTGAGTTGGTTAACGTCAAGAATTCGCACTTGTTCCTTTGGCCATTGCACGAGATGGTGCCAGTGCTGCCCGGCAGTGCCTGCGCACGCGGACTGCATGCTTGATTTTTTTCGGATAGCACAAGTTAGCAAAATGTTGACTCGAGAGGGTGGCAAACACTGCCGCACGGAGCCGCTTAAGCGCCATTGCGCGCAGAGAACAAAAAAAGCCGTCTTGTGTAGCAGAGGAGGGAGGCGAGCCGCCCTTCAAACATCACTGTATGTCTGGGGGGGTGCAGTCGATTGCAGTCGTCTCCTCTCAAAACTGACTCAAAATCGACCCGGACAGCTGACGCTAAGGAGCTGCTCTTGTACTTGCATGTGTACTTTCGCGTGCTCATGTAGGGGTCATTTCGGCTCAAAGAGTGCCGCAGAACGTTTGGAAGCGTTGGGCGCTGGCCTCAGCTTGGAATTGCAAATTTCCAACGTTGAATACCTTTGATGCGACCCAGGCATCCGTCGCAGCAACGAGCAATAGGTTTTCATGCGTGCCTGGCTTTGCACGTGCAACGTCCAGCATGCGTTGTCAGTTTGGCTCTGAACACATGGGGGTGAATCGTGGGGGCATGAATCTGAACAAGCAGAGCCCCGAACAGACGAAGCTTCACGCACGGATCAAAACGTCAGTGCGGTGTCACTGCATATGGCTGTGTGACAGTGTGCTAGAAATGTTAGCATACTTATAATCTTTTCAATGGCCAGGAGTTTTGCGACAGACACATGTTCCGTGAGTAGTTTTGCCGACCCCTTCAGACTACACTGCTAGCAGCTAGCGACTAGCAAGCAACTTGACATGTAGGGCAGGCATGCAGGGCCTGCCCGTAGCACTCACCTTGCCGTGCATGTTCCACCTCCGGGTCTTTTCAGCTTGAACCTCAGTTGCGCAAGGAGTCCACGAGAACAATGCCCGGACTTGCGTGGCTGACTTTGCCTAAGGCTCTTCTTTTCGCAAGGAACCTGTGGCTGGTTGCTTCAAGCAATAACAGCTCAGATTCAGGCAAAGAAAACGGGTCAGCATATTGACAGCTCGGGGGACACTTGATGGGACGTCGCTCTCTTTTATTTGGAGATGCAGCTGGGGGTAGCTGGGGTTCACGTGGAGTAGGCCTGGGCGAGAAAGATGGTAGGTGTGTAGCTCTTGGGTTAATCGACTTGTGAGCACTGCTGGGAGTGTCGAGAGACAGCGATGCTTTCTGGACCTGATCTGACAGGCATCCGGAATGTCTCTTTCCCGGATGCCGCCGAGGGCGAGTTGAATACAATAGGCCTTACTGCGCGGAGGGCTCATCCGTGCACAGCACGTACGCTGCATGTTGTGTAGTGACCCGGTCGCGAGCAGTTGGTGGCAACAGCTGGGCGCCAAGGGCTGGTGGCTTGGAGTGGTGCTCCCAAACTGGCTGTTACCATCCGTCGTCCCTCCACATCGACTTCAATGACTCGATGTCGGGAGGAGGTGCAGACATGCAACACGTTCAGGGCGGCCGGCAGTGCAGAGATAAGCTAGCATTCAACGCTCTCATCGGGTGCTGCTGACGAGGCTGCCAATACCGAATTGCCGGACGACTTGCGGCTAACAAATCGCTGTTGAGCCATGGCACGCTCACAAACGTAAGTGGCAACATGCTACTGTAATCGCAGCTTACTTCTGACTGACTTTGGACAATATTGGACAAATTTGGACAAATTGCACAGCGCTTTGTTAGAGCTCACTTTGAAGTTCTTCTAAGGAACTCGGCTCCCTCAGGTACCTACACCGTGCGCCTCTGCTTCTGAACTAGTGCTCAATGTACAGCGCACAACTTGCAGATCGTGCTTCTTGTTTATGAGCTACCCTATAGCTTTCGCATTCGGTGATGCCAGTCAGGTCACCACTCATTCATTTCTTTTGTTAGAATATGAAGTCAGACGTCAGAGCATCCTTCACAGCATAAGGCCCCCCACACTGGCGGCGTCGCTTCACGTGCCTCCCCATCCCTTTCTGCGGAGCGGCTTCCGGCTTCCGCCAATTCAGCGGCGGCTAGAGGCGACTTCGGGGTTGCGGGCTCCGATGATTCAGGACATTGTAGCTTCTACGGAGACCGACGCTTTAGGCTTTGCCAATTTGTAGAACGAGCCTGAGATTGAATATTCATAAAATAGTACTGCAGATGTATATACCTGCATGTCGCTGCACGTCGCTGCGTGCAGCTGGGCTGAGGCTTCGGAGATCGCGGCCAGCATCGGGTCATCTTCGCCTTTCCAGCAGCGTGCCAAAGCACGAGAGGTGATCGCCCTGGCGAAGCAGGCCGTGCCGCCTGCAGCTGGAGTGTCAAGGGGCCTGCATGGAGAGAGAGAGGACAGCGGTTCTCTGTGGAGACCCCATATGGAAGGCGAAGATGCCTGTCACTGGCTCCGCTCTGGTCGAGCTAAGGCCTCGCGAGGCGAAGGCGAGGCAAAGGTAATTAGCACCGGAAGGATTTCATAAGACTACAGCCATGTTCTTAACAAAGCAAGTGAAGGCCCGTTCACTGTTCACTGCGTGCAGCGCCCCTTGCTGGGGGAGAGGGGTTGGAAAATCAAAAAAGGGTCAGGCACCAACTTGGAAAAGATTGGCAAACATGGTGCCTCTGGCAGAGCAAGAAGGCACGGGAGGGTAAGCAGGGCCGGGAATCGAAGACAGGAAGGAAAGCGAGACAGACAGCAATAAAGAAATAAGGACAGAAGGAGAGTGTGAGACTGTGAGAGAGAGAGAGAACAAGGACCAAAAGAGACCAAGAACAACAAAAAACATGCAGGACAAAACAACAAACAACGAAAGACAAAGGAAAGGAAAGAAAGAAAGTGTAAACATAATGACAGAAAGAGAGGCACGTATAAACGGCAGAAAGAAATGGCAGAAATACAGAACAGAAAGGCTTTCCCTGAAGACCATACGAATCCTTTCCAAACCCATTATGCGAGCATCGTGTTGCAATTCGGGCGGTGGCTGCGCCGCCACCTCCCGAACCGCCCTCGCTCTTCTAAAGCCATGAACGCACGATGTTTGCAAGTGCGGGGGGGGGGGGGGGGGGGGTGTGCCTTGATAGCATATACTTTACACCTGCGAACAGTCAGAGAAAATTCTGTAATTTGAAACATTTAGAGCCGATGAACAAGCAGGAATGCTGTCATTCACAGCATCTGGAGTCTAGGAGCTCTCATGAAATGCTTTGTTTTGTACAGCATGTGGAGCCCATTTGGAGCCTGTGAGTGATCAGAAATCTGCCGTTTACATTTACAGCATCTGCAGCCTTTCTGATGTGCTGATTGTATCTGCATTTGGATGCTTGTAGCCAAGCATTATTGACGGATTTAAGGCTAGAAGCCTTGCACGCAGTGGAGCCAAGGATCTCCAGAAGTCCATGCGTGAAAAGTGAATCTTGTGCGCTGAAACGCTGAAAATCCAGGGTCTTTTGGTGTGCAGGCGCTGAACGAAAGCAGCAAGGACGAAGGTGCGTAAGTGGGGCTGAAAAAGGTGAGGGTTCGTCATTCTGATCACGTCCTCTGCACACACTGAAGTTTCTTTCTGGAATCTTGGCATGGCAAACGTTTGCCAAGCCGAGGAAGCTACAGGCTACAGCATGCATTCGCACATCTGTAGACATGCAGATGTCACGCAGGGCGGATGTTTCCAGTGCCGTTGGAGCTTGCTGGAGACGTGGTCATTGCCTCTTGGATCGCCTTTTCATGGAAGGTGCAGGGCTTCTAGTTGCATGTGCAAAAAAGAGGAGGGAGATGAAGCTCCAGAGTTCCGGTTGCGTATTTGCCGCTTCCTGCCAAGGGCGAGGCTTAGTTACCTGCGAAAAAACAAGGTCTTGAACTGGAGCAACGCCTCCAAAGTCCCTTGCCTGACCGTTGTCAGCCAGCCACAGGCCACGTATGCTGACCAGTTTGGAAGCCGAGCTGACTGTTAGCTGCGCTTCAGGGTTCTGACCTTGCCGCAGGACTGCAACAGCTGCGCCTTCGGCCCTACTAGTTGCATCTCGGCCTGCTGCGCTATCGGGTGAAGTGAAGCATGCAGCAATTGGATTCCGGGATCGCACCAGGTTCACCCGCGCATCTTCAAGCACCAGAACAAGCTCGACCAGAGTCTTTGCAGAATCTGGTCAGCTCTGATGACTATGATGATACTATGATGGTCTATGAGACTTGCATGCTACCGCATCACCATGCTTGAGACATTGACACCCCGAAAGCCGAAATAGCTTGGCGGCCGGCAAAAGAAGAATGCATGAGCGCATGCAGTGACGCAGTGTCAGCGGATCCCGTAGAAATCCGGCCCAGTGGCATGGATTGAGCGATTGGGAAATCTTTGCAACCCGCTCGCTGAGCATTTTGCTTTGTGCGCACTATTCAATGTTGTGGAGGAGTAGGCCTTGCACGTGTTCAGGAGAGGACAGGCTGCGGAAAACTTCCTAGCGTGGATTCTTTTCTTATAAAGCTCACCCGCGGCTTAGCTTGGCCCAGAGCTTTGCCGCGGTTGGTGCAACTTTTTTCACTTTGCCGACGTGACGGCTGAGATCGAGTTAGGACTTGGCCTTGAGATGAACCTTGCTATACACTTCTGGGGCAGCAGCAATATTCGGACATTCGGACCTTTTGCAGCCGGCGCAGTGGCAGTGGCAGAAGGCTTTCGCCATCTTGTTCATGTCCCCAATGCGGTCTTGGCCATACTTGGCCGACAACTTCACTTGCTTCAGAGCTCTTTGAGCCCACAGGGCCCTCTCTACCATGAAAGTCTGCGGACTGTGCTGCACATCACGGCTGTGGCAGCGCAGCAAGGTTCAAGCTGCATAGACTGTCCGGAACCCCACTCAGCACGAGTTTCTCGTGTTGGCGAAAGCGCTGGCATGTAAGAAGGGGAACTCTGGCACATTTGCGTTTGCTAGCCAAAGCTGTGGGAGTTGAAGCTCCACTTCAATTCTAGAACCTGTAAATAGTAAAGTCACAGTATATAAAGTGTGAAAAGTGGAAGGCACGTAGTTTTGCAGCAAGGTCAATGTGCAAGAACTACACCCACAGCTCAGGTCCCACAGCCCACCCAGCAAGCCGGAAGCCAGCTTCAAATTCGGTTTTGAGACATCGGATGCAACTCTAAAGCAATGAAAACCTTTACCCACAATTTTGCCTGCGATGTCCTGCATGCGACTGCCGCATGCCGAGCCTAAGCCTCTCTAAGTATCAGCTCTGGTGATGAATCGGGGTACCCTTTCGGTACCTTCTCTCAGGATACGCGGCTCCTCTCCTACAGCTTGCCCCGCCCTGACTGGCTCCTAACACCCAATTCGCGCTACGAGGACGAAGCTGCTGAGATCCAGTTTCCAATGCCAGCTTGCACTATCGGGTATTCGCCTTTGTTTATCACTTTGTTTTCGGTCGCAAGTCTCAGAACGAAGCAGGTTCGGTGCATCGAATCAATCCACCGTACTTCCTTGTGCTTCCTTCTGCGGTGTAGGGATTACCGGATATATCGCTGCATGGCCAGGAGGTGGCTCACAATTCCCACTCAGTTTGCATACGGGAACTGGGCGACGATGAGGATGCACCATGGCTGCAAACAGCTTTGCTCTGGCGTGGTGCATAGATGATCGCTTTCGGATGGCAAGTGTTGGCGCAGGCCGTTCCTACACTACGGCTATTGGGTGCTTTGTCGTACTTTCGCCTGCCGCAAATGACCTTCCTGAAGTTCTCTTGGCTGCGTTTGAGTCGCTTGGAGTTGCTCGGGTCTTGAGGGCTATTGGAGAGCTACATAATTGGCCCCCGACCAAAACGTGCAGCATATGTAACAGGCCCTGGGCGCCTGCCGCGACAACAGGGTTTGTAACAAAGCCGTGCTCCTTGCGACAACTCCCTCTGTGACAAGCCTCATACGCATTAAACAAACGGATGCGACATACACTTGCCAGGGTGCGGGGGTGGCGGCGGCGGGAGTACGCGACACACCCCTGTTTTGACACATAGTCAAAAGCCGCTGGGATCGAGTGCACGCGAGCACCTCGCCAATCATCTGTACTGTGGGGCCAGCTTTGGTCGCTACATAAGCATGGCGTCCGGTTCCTCAACACAGAGCAATGTTTCCTGCAGGCACGAAGTCATATGCATTGGGACACATGTCAGGGGCATCCTCATCGTGGGCGTGCGGACGTTCATCAATCCTGGATGGTCGGAAGAGATCAATCTGAAGTGCACCAACTGCTCCTCTGTTAGCCAGGCCCAGTCTACAGCTTTAGACTTTGGGGTGTTGCCAGCGCGTCGCACCAGCGGGCATTCTACGAGTCTTGGACTCTTTGACTCAGGTGGTGATCCGCCCTATCAGCTTTGACCCCATGTGCCGCAGCGTTTCGCAACAAATGGCAGCTGCACTAAGAGTTGCGGTGCGCGCTGGGGAGGTTGGAGCCTCAGAATGCTTAAGGCACATGTTTTGGAGCTGCTTGTTCATGAGAAGTGGCAAATGCTACTGCAACCCGGTTGCTTCAATGCGGAGAGAGAGAGACACACAGACACACACACATACACACTTTTCGGGAGAGATATATATATATATATATGAGTATCGGACAAAATCTATGGAAGAGGTACATAGCCTTAATTAGAGGGGTCATATGGAATTGACAAGGTCGCTCTTGCAAGAGAACCGATAGGGGCCAACTCAAAACCGATACCCTCGGCATGTACAGTTATAATTGGGGACATACGTACCAGGTAGCGGGAACGTCGGTTCCAGTACTAAGCTTGTACAAATCAACGAAAACCCAGCCGGCTCACGGGAAAGTCGGTTCCAGTACCAAGCTTGTACTACAAATCCACGAAAACCCAGCCGGCTCACGGGAACGTCGTTTCCAGTACTAAGCTTGTACTACAAATCGACGAAAAAACCCAGACGGCTCACGGGAACGTCGGTTCCAGTACGAAGCTTGTACTACAAGTCATTCCCATAGATAATTCCTGCAGAACCGATAGGGGCCAACCCTAGTCCACGCGGCATTCGGGACGTACTAGAGGTTTGGACCGCTACTCATATGTATAATATATATATATATATACATTTATTGATGGATTCTTCAATCCCTTTACGAGGGAGTCGAACTTCGCAGGTCGAAAGTTCCCACATTGACTTGTCCGAACTCAGCCACTTGACTGCACATCGACCGCGGATTCAATGAGTGCTGACCTTACACCTTTCGGCCCTTCGCCCTCGAACCGGCCTTTGAGGCAGCGCGAGGATGGAGGATGTGGTGTTGCATGGCCACTTACCCAGTTCCAAAAAGTTTGGGAGGCAATGTTGAAGGCACCAGATTCACTAGATCAAGCTGGAAAGCTTGACTCAGCCCACGTGTAGCAATGTCAGTGCACGAGGTAACGTGGCTGGAATCAATTGCCCTCTTCCTGCCGCAAGCCCCTGTGGTGGTTATGCCGAGGGAGCTTTCGCTGTTGGCGAGGCGAAGGCCAGAACAGTTCGAGAGCTGGTCGAGTCAAATGCTACTTGAGATAATGTGCCAGTGACTCACTGCAACCTACCAGAGGCTTCGTCCTTTGATGATGAGCAGCATGGCGGCATTCCGATCACTCCGTTGTGCGGATGTTCGTGGGCCGTTTGCGCCTTGCAAGCTGCCACCTGGAGGCACATCACATACGTTCTCCAGAGCTCACGCAGGCGAGGGCGGTGGTCGGGGTCTACATGCCCATATGATGTGCAAAGCTGCACCTGCTTTATGTTGACGAGGTTGTCCGGCCATGAGAAGCAAGTGTTCTTCCACCACCGAAGTGCAATCTGCTTGTATCCAGGCCGCGGAAGCCGACTGCTGAAAGAAATGCTTGAAGTCTGCACGAATCCACAGCTGGCTTGATGTCAGGAGGGCCTTCGAACCATGGGTGGCTTGTGGGCTTCGCGGTAGTGCACATGCGGCCTGGATGCATGCAAAGAATGGCACACACTTGCCAGTTGCAAGATGACTCAAGCGTTCGTCCTGGTACTGAACGATGCTTCAGCTGTTTTCAAGTCATTTGCTTGACCCAGAGTTCGCCAGCTTAGGAATGTCTTGGACATGCAGGCGCATGAAAGGGCACAAGCCGCCTTCCAACGTGAGATAACGTGAGCTCGTGGAGGATTTGATATTTGCTGCCATGGTCACGATCGTATCGGCTCTTCATAGGTCTTCTACATGTCTATGCTGAGACTGCCCATCTTCCGTTCGTGAATAGCTGCAACGCAGAGTGCCGGGCTCATCTTGGGGGCAGAGAGATTCCCATGACTTTAATTTAGCGTTGATGTTCCAAATACTGCTCACTTCGGAAGTACGCTTGCCTACTTGCTTGCCGAGAGAGCAACCTTTTCTGAACACTGCGGAACCTGCTTCATCATCCCTTACCGCCTTATCCGATATCCCTTATCCGTCAGCACCGACGGCTTCTCTCGGATAGATACCCTGGCCATGTGGCGCCTCTCCCGTGCTCCAAGAACATCGCTGCGGAAACTGAGCTGCAGGTGAATGACCGTGAAGGGGCTGCTTCCAACTCCCGTCTCAATGCGTGGCAACCGGCAGCTAAGGAGGTCGCTAAAGCGACAGGCCAGGCCAAGCCTTTCCATCCATGTGCAACCTTCTTTGCCGCCTCTGCAGCTTGGCTAAGCAAGCGCTAAGAATCCTAAGAAGATTTTGGTTTAGAGCAGCTTTCCTGTCATGTTCCTGACGAGGCTGTTCCATGCCTTCCGTCAGTGCGGCACTGCCACACCAAACAAGGCATTGACATGCAGACAGCTTTGTGCTTACATGCGCTGAGCTTCAGTTTGACGTTTGACAATGACTTTCTTTTGACTCGGAGGGTGAAGATCCCAAGATGCGTGCGCTAGAGGAAATCTTGAGGCACCGCTTGGGGTCGAGCAAGCGACAGTATTTGTGTGTGTGGTGCGCGACACTATACTCGTTCACCTGCTTGGGGTCCGTAGCAATTGTTTCACTGGGTTTTTTTGAGAGAGTCGCATTCCCGGGTGGCATTCCCAGGATCAGCTCCGGACATAAATCGCTAAAGTGCCGACAGCTTTGGCGGAAGACGGCTCGGCCATTTGGGGTGGGTGCCTGCAGCCTGCGTGCGTGTTGCGTGCTGTGTGGGGTGTAGTGACGTGTGCACTTTGTAACGAAAGCCAATGGCATGGCACTGTACATGTACACAGGCAGCGGCAGTTTTTTTTGCACAAATGCTTCTCAGGTGGTCACTGCTTCTCATATTGAGCGGCAAGCCCGTTCAGCAGCAAATAGGATTTCTCAACAACCAAAATCTTATCATTTGGCGGTTGGGAACTTTCAATACGGCCAGCTGTACTCATGCCAGCACTGCACTTGAAATTCCATTGAAGTATTTGAAATACAGGAGATTAAAGGAGTGTTCAACGGTCATTGAAAGGTCTGCGGGACGGAACCTTGGCAGGCAGCAGCTCAGGGAAGGCCTTCCTGGCACCAGAGCGGAGGAAGCCTATGCGCTGGCATACACGTGCGGTGCAACTTGCTTCAAGCCTGCGTGTGAATACCTTTGCATGTGGGCCGGGTGAGGGAGGGTGGGTGGCGGCGATGTTGTTCAGAAACTTCACTTTGCTGCTTGTACCTGCTTGTAGACCCCATGCGCCTGTTAGTGGAAACTCAAGGTGTGCAACGAGCGCAGTGCGAAAAAGATATCAAAACGTGCCTCAGAGCGAATATGCAGGCCTAGGCCTGGCAGCCACGTGCAGCATCGGCATCTGCGATAAATCCAAGGGGCATACCACCATGGCGTGGTCATCATCACTTGCCCTAGTTGCAAGAGTCTTGATTGCCAATCAGAAACTTGAGCAGTCAGCGGGTCTTGCTCTTGACAGGTTAACATATTGTCATGACCTCGATGTAAGTATGTCATGCTGCTAAGGAACCGACATTTGATCGCAGATCGTTTGGGATGGTGCCTTGCAAGCACTACAACCACTCAACGCGCACCTTCATGCAAATTCTGAAAGGTTCGAAGACGATGGAACAGACATTGAAGAGATGATGAAGGTGAAAGGTGAAGAGATCGCCCTCGCCCTACTGCAAAGAGGAGTGCAAAGACATGTGCAAGATGCCAGCGGTCGTCTGAGGTCAAGCTGAGCAAGTGCCCTCGTGGCATCTGTCGATTCAGCCCATCTCGTTTACAGAACGTTTCTCATGCTTGGCAGGTACCGATTTAATTGCACATCGGAAGAGGCGTCGCAGGTGCTGGAGGCCGAAGTATAAGAGCGACCAGGCTTTTATGTTGCGGGAGGTTTCTTGTGGCCGTGATGAGCAGCACCTGGAAAAGTAACACTCGCACTCTTTAGTCCATAGGTCCAGAAGAAAGGTAGCGGGTTTAGGAATTCAGGTGTATTACGGGTAGGGTTCCAGATGTAGGAGCTCATATGCACAGTAAAGCGATAGGTTTTCGTAGCGGCATTGATGAGTTCTCTCCATTTCGGTCTTGGGCCACTCGCAGTACTCGTACCAACAACTACCTCTGAGTGCTGCATTGTATGGCGTGGCAGGAGCTGGTGGACGTTGAGGCTGAAGATGCGAAGGGAAAGGCAGAGCGGAGCAGAGCATACCCCTCCCTCCTCCCTCCTCCCTCCCCCCTCCTCCTCTCTCTAGTACCTCGTTTCGATCGATACCCGATTGTTAGGGCAACAGATACGGATCGTATGCGGTACAATGTTGCCAGGTATTGCTGTGTGGCGGCCCCCCCCCCCCCCCCCCACACACACACACACACACACACACACACACACCAACTCAACTCACACACTCACTTACTCACTCTGTCTCTCTCTCACTCACTCTCACACTTTCAAACTCTCACACTCACTCACACTCACTCACCCTCACTCACCCTCACTCACCCTCTCCCACACTCTCCCACACTCTCCCACACACTCCCACACACTCCCACACTCTCCCTCACTCTCCCTCTCTCTCCCTCTCTCTCCCTCTCTCTCTCCCTCTCTCTCCCTCTCTCTCCCTCTCTCTCCCTCTCTCTCCCTCTCTCCCCTCTCTCACCCTCTCTCCCTCTCCCTCACTCTCACACAGGCCAATGTTTTCAGCAATGGGGGTTACGGGATACCGATGTTCATACGGCCATGGGCAAGCTCTCGGTGACAATCATAGCATGTAATTGTCCAACCGAGCACATTCATAGTAGGAGCTGACCGCACTGCTCATGCGAAGCGAAAAGTCCATACTGAGGCAGAGGTGTAGATGTAAATTGATTAGATGTGCATATCAAAATGTACATACTCACATATATATATATATAGAGAGAGAGAGACTTCGGCAGATCTCTGCAGGCTCTTCCGGCAGAGTGAGATCTTTTTCGGCCAGCTGATGGGATCTGCAAGTGCTTATGCTGCACGCGGCATGAATGGATATCGTGCTGGATGACTTCGCCAGTACTGATATCAGATTCACAAGGTAGCACAAGATGCACGAATGCACTCTTGAGATCCCACGTGCCACCCCTTCGCCATCACAGCGTTGTGTACAGCAGCAGGCTTTGCTCAAAAGATGCGGTGTGCGTCAGGTTCATCTAGTCGGCCGTTCGTACTGCATGCGTACTTCGAACCTTGTTTGGGGCATGAACTTGCAGTCACATTGGTTAGAGGCATTGGTAGAAGCAAAAATGTGCATGTACGGAGGCGTTCATTGGCTTTGTCTGCTTCTTTGGCGTCGCTTTGCCGCTCATTTGCCTGGTCACGGCCCTGCTGTGCCTTGGCAGTTTCCTAAATGCCATCTGTGCATCCCAGCTGGCCAGATGCAGAAGATTTTCCTGGCACTAAGTCACAACATTCTGCCCAGGTTTGCTAACAAACCGAAAATATGAAATCTTAAGATCCTGAGGCACTACAACAAATACGAGAGGCGGGGAGTTTGCTTCGTTTCAGATGGCAAAAGTTGTTCAAAACAGGTTGGCTCGTTGATCAAGCTCTACAGGGGTCAGTCATACTTGTAGAGCAGTCTTTGTCAAGTGGCGCATGTCGGCTATGCGGCCCTGAGAGAGGTGCAAGCATCATGTGCGACATTTGCGTTTGGAGTACCAGTGCCTCGACATGATCGTGCTTAGTTGGGACAATTCTGGGCTCAAGAGAGCAATCGCACTCGTTGCCCGATGTCAGACTTTAATCAGGAAACATCAGCACAGCAAGCTAAGAAGTGTGCAGTTGTTGCTGCTTAATGAACGATTGCTGTAGTACTGAGGCGCGAACAGCTGGAACGAGAGCTGGCTGCTGGAAACGAGGACACATTTGGCAGCATTGGCCGCTGGTTTTTCTCTGCGCAAAATGTATGTTTGCAGGAGGAAGCCGATTTCAATGCAGGTCGCAGTCAACGAAGATCCTTGGATGCACGCAACATGCACTGCAAAGCTGGCACAAGAGCCAAGGGCAACACAAACATTGGAAGCTCCGCATGAGCCAGGTGGCAACGCGTCATCCAGCACCAGAGATGCAAATGCAGGCATTCATTGCATTGCATAATTGAATTAGCTAGGCCAAAGGGCCAAAGACAGTCGTGCCATTGTTTGGGAAGCTTCCAAACAACTGTTTGAATTTCCGTTCCATCGACACCATTGCTGTTACTGTGATTGCTTTCCTTGTCTTGCAGGTGCTGCTCGTGCCACCCCGGAAGAGAGCAGCAGCTACCAGCCTCTGGCTGGCGAGTTTCCTGGCCTGAGCAGTGGCTGTTTGAGGAACAATCGGCAAAGACTGGGCCCAGTCCATGTTAAGTCCTTGCGAAAGCTGGTGTCGAGGCCTGCCTCTGCGACGATGAGCTCGGCAGCTTGCTACATGGGTGTGCTTCGTAATTTGGAAGATTGCTGCAGGAGTTGCAGGATGCCGCCCGTGCACAGCTCAGGCATTCTTGCGGCCGTCCTGATGGAAGAACGATCGCGAGAGTAGGTCCGGATCTAGTGGGCCAGATGACACAGGTTGCGATGGCACCCTGCACCGTGCACGCATGGTAGCTTTAGTTTCTGATGCTGCCAACCCCGCAAGAACTGCGTGGGTGAGCTTGGCTAGGTGTCTTTTCGTTTCACATCGCCCGCACAGTTTAACTTAGTCAGCAAACTCAGGAAACCCGAAATGGTTTCCAAACCTAGGTGGTTAAAATCTGAAGTGCAGAAAAGCCAGTGCTGGTGCAAACATGCTCGACTCCACCCCATGGAGTAATCATGCCCGCAAAACCCAGGTGCCGTTTGCATGGCGAACTTCGCCAATCCTTTCGTCTTAGCCTCGCAGGTAGAGCTGCAGGGATGCATCATTAAAGGACATTAATGGGTGACTTGGCACAGCTGAGGAATAGGATTCCGTGCGGCACCAAACCTTAAGACTGAGGTCTCTGCACAAGGAACTGACACATCACAAGGCGCGGAAGCTATAGCAATCACAGTGTAGGGGGCCATCTGCTAGCTCCACGCGCATGGCGCAATGCAAATGCATGTTCCGGCATAGGCTACATGAACGGCATTGGAGGTGGCTGGTCCTGGCCTCGTTCTGTTCTGTTGGAAGTCTTGGACGCGCATGGACGCGCCATACCTTCCAGAAATTTGAGATGATCAGGATTTTGACATTGACAAAAGCAGACCAGTACACAACCCACCCAGTCATATGAGTGCCAAGACCTCTGAGTGCAGATTTTTTTGAAGTGACACCGTGTGCCATGGCTGGCTTCTTACGCTATAATATAATTCTGTACACTGTACATGCTACGGGGCCTCTTGTGCCAAGGGGGGACTACACAGGCTCGAGCCGTTAAATTTGCATTCGACGCAGTCGTCTCCAGAAAAGTTGTGTCGCGTGTCACGTTACCTCATGGCATCATGCCCTGATTGACCTTACCGTAATGAGCTGTTGCTCGCGGTTCCCAGTTGCGGCAGGCGCTGCGGCCCAGATGCAGTTCCAACAAATGCAGTCTGCCTAGCTCTGCGTTTGCGCGCTTGAAGGGTGACATCCAACACCCGTCTGCCAAGGCTCCCCACACAGGCTGCTGGAACGCTGCTTCCCTAGCTGAGTTTGAAGAAACCCAGCCGAGTTGGACCAAGATGCTGCAATTTCTCAGCTGCCGGTCGCGAAAAACGAGCCTGAGGTGGTTCCAGGGCCAGGGGTACTCCGACGCCATGTGTCTTGGCTGTTATGCATGTCAAACGTGCGCAGGTCTGCCTGAAAGTGTTGGCAGCCAAACCCGTAGCTTAGTTGTCAGGAAATGCCCCCAAAAATCATCTTGCCATCCGATTGAAATTCCTTGCGGCCTTTGACTCCGAGGTGGTATGCTTCACAGGGAGGATATGCTGATGCCAGCATGCAGCCAGACTGCACTCAGAGGCTCTTCGCAGTGCCAGGCCAAAGCCAATTCGAAGCATTGCAAGGGCGGCTCTGCAAAGTGGTACCAGTGCTGCAATGCTGCTTGCTCAGGTTTTCCGCCCTTGCCAAGCTGCAAGTGCCGAAAGCTTAGTCTGAGGAATGGTAGCGTACGGCTTAGCACGGCTGAAGTGCTCCCGGAGCCGCTGGAGCGTCCGATGGAAGTGCGCACCGGACTTCTGCAACGTTTGAGTCGGCAGCATTTTGAGTTTGCCAAACTGCCTTGGGGGTTGTGTTGGTGTTGGAATGAGGAAGTACTTGGGAAAGCAGCTTCGGGCGTTTCTGTGGCGCTTTCTGCACCTGTGATAGGGATGGCGTTGATGCCACTTCTTGGGCCGCAGCGGAAGACAGATTTTGGCTTCGGGACTGGCAAAGCCGACTGTCCACAAAAAAGCTGTCAGCGATACAGGCTGCATGCTACTGAGGTCCGCAGCGGTGTGGCGTTAGAACGGCATGATCGACTTAACTAGCTAAGCTTGCACCAGAGACCTGCCAACCACTGAACTCCTTGCTGTTCCCCATGAGCCAAGACAAACACATCTCAAGCTCTCAGTAAGGGTGAGCTCGTGTTTGATGACACTAAGGCCGCAGGGCACCGATCAACTGTGGCTGCAACCAATGATGGCCCAGCAGGCGGGGCGAATCATGGGAAGTAATCTGGGGAAAGCGGGACTGAAAGCGTTCGGGTATGCAGTGGTGAGTCGGCTGGATAAAGGGGCGTTGAGAGAAGTCCTTGACCATGGCTCCAGGTGGCAGCTTCTACAACTGCAACGTCACCATCGCACGGAGCTTTGGTTGTGTAGACGAGCTTACTGATGATTAAGGGCGCAGAAGTCAAATTTAGGTCAGATAGGGAGCTGCAGACATAGCCGTTTATGATAGATTAGGAATCCTCCCACACGAATGTTACGTCACATAATCCAAACGGATGCACACAGAGACAAGCTTTTGGCTGATTTGGTGAGTCGCCCACCTTTGGATCGAAGCAGCTCGCTGCCCTGTTTCCGTGGAATCTGTATCGTCGCTATACTTAGCCACAACGCACTACGTACATCACCTCCACGAAGACGGGCAAGACGTTGTAGCTTGTCCACACCAGTGGATCTACCTGTTACCATACTGGCGATGCCAGGTAGACTGCAGTGTGTTCGAAGTGTTTGCTGTTGTTCATACCTGCTACGGCCTATGATGCTTTGACATGTGCCACATGCGCCGTCGTCAATGCCTCCAGTGGCTGGGAGCCACATGAGGCAAGGGCTTGATGTTGATGATGCCGAAGTAGTGTGGCCAGAATCGGCAAGGGAGAAGATAGTGGAGAAGAACTGGCGATCAATATTTCAAGTCCATTTGGATGATGTCGAGAAGTACGGCTTGGAGTACTGCATCTACTTCCATACTCTGCGTGTTCTTTGCGGCATGTTTTTTGTTCTCGCATTGCTGGCCACTCCAGCGCTACTTTTCTGTCTACAAGGGAACAGCTTCGTGCATGACGCAGCTTGGCTGCAAGTTGGCAAGTTGGCAACGCTCTCCCAGCAAGAACCGTCTTCGATGCGAAACTTTGTTTGCAAGTGAGGACTTGCTCAGCCACTTGGCGCGACTAACGCTTGGCAACGTGTCGCCCACGACAATGCTGAATGCAGGCGCCTTTGTTGAAACAAGCTTAGCAGCTTAGTAGCTACTCGCGGTCTCACTTCCTCGGCATTCTAGTTCGTCCGCTGCGCTTGAGTGGATAATTTCTTGCATGTCCACTGATCTCACTTTAGCTTGGCTACAGCGCATGCCGCCACTCCGTCATCGTAAGGCCCATTCAACTTGGTGCTGGCGGACGTTGCCGATCCGCGAGCTGTCGGTCTCTCACTCAGCGCCGAGACGATGAGAGTTCTATTTGCCGGAGAGAAGCACTGTGCTAAACAGCACTGTGACGCCGTGTATTCTGTGTATCGCGTCAGTGCGAGACGCTGTGAGCCCAGACCCGTTGAACTCAGGTTTTGGCCTTCTCTTGGCATTGCAACTTGCAATTCCACCGCTGGCACTCAGTATACTGAGCCTTTGGTCTTGGCCACGTTTGGCGAGCCATGCCGACCTTGCACTGGAGACGACGGGGGGTTCCGAGCAGTTCCTGCGCCATTGCAATATCTCGCTTCTGAGCTGCTTCTGCCGCTGCTTTTGCATATCCCTGTTAGGAGCCCTCGGCTGCTGACTACGCTCTACGGGTGGATGGCCTGCCAAGTCAGCTGGAGCTGAATGGGCGGACCTTGGAGCCTGGGCGTGCGAATCAGAAAGACTTAGACCTCCTCTCTGAGTAGAGGCGCTGGAAAAGGATTAAGTCGGATTAAGAGAGAAGCCCCGACTAGTCTAGCATTAGTGCCAGAAGGAAGCCGAGTTGCTCTCCCACTTCGAAGCCGTGTCGCTGGGCATTGTTTGTACTCAAGGCTCGCGCTTTTCCCGTTCGTGTTGCACGATGCCTGTGTTGAAGGCATATGCCATAATACCCGACAAGGGGGGCTGTTAGACATTGAGGACAAGTTGGCGCTTGCAGTTGGGTGTTAGGGATGTCCGAAGTGGTGTGATAATTGCAGTTGTTGTAATTGTAACTTCTTCTTCTTCTTCTTCGTCTTCTTTTTCTGCTTCTTCTGCTTCTTCTTCTTCTTCTTCTTCTTCTTCTTCTTCTTCTTCTTCTTGATGGTGGTGGTGGTGTGGTGGTGGTTGCGGCGTGGTGGTGGTGGTGGTTGTGGTGTGCTGGCAGCTTGAGAACGCAAAGGCTCCGTGAACGTGGTGCTGATGGACTGTGCTGCGATGTGGCCTTGCGACGAAATTTCCGTGGAGCTTTGCAAGCTGCCTTGGATATGCAGGCCAGGTTTGTGCCGACCTTGTCTCAGACACGCAGTCACCCCGGTTTGTTCCTGATTAATGCTACCTGCTACCTCTTCCCACACCGCAGCTACTGGAACATGCCAGTGCGCCCGGCACGATGTTTTGAACTCGGAATCCCGTGCCACCACCTTGGTGAGTGATCTTTAACATTAGATGTGTCCAAGCCGCCCTGAAAGTGGAGATTTCCGGAGGCCTTCTGACAAGCTTATCTTGCCCATAGAGGGTTCAGCTCTTCAGGCCATCGCTCTTCCGTTTGTGGGAAAGAGCGGACATGAAGGGCGGAGTGCGAGAGCTTGAGTAGCAGCTTGAGTATTCCAAACTGTCGTTGTGGACCCTCTTAAAATCTCGTAAATCTGCTTGTACTACAGGTAGCAGCACGGCGAGGCGAAAGAACATTGAACATAAACGAAGTTTCAGGCCGTGCCATACAGTGTACCAAAATGGTTTGGCGTATTCAAGGCCTATCAAGGCCTAAGGCCTACATGTAGAAGCACTCGAACAATAGCCTTCGGACTGCGTGCGTCAGACAGAAGTGGCCGCCCCACTCAACTGACTTGATTTATAGTGCAACAAGGACAAGCTGGGCTACAGGAATACTGCCGGGTATTTCGAGTTTCCAGATTCCAGGTTTTCAGGGCTGAGGTTTCCGAAATAAGCAGCCATCCTCTGAACCATGCCAAGGCCCTCAACATGGGGATTAAGTTAGATATCAACGATTGGACATACACCGTCTCCGAATCTTTACATCTCAGTCTCAACACGGAACTGCCAACACCCGCCCCATGCTTCTAATACAGCCGCTGGAAAGCTCTGCAGAGCACGCTAGACCTGATGGGACAGAGAGCTTGACTCGAAAGCAGGCGTGGGAGCACAAAGCTGCGGCTACCGTGCGCCAGACCCCTGGCAGCCGCAAGGCCCGGCATGCTTTGAGCCGTCGAGAAGCGGCTGCTCGGCGAGTGGCACTTCATCGCCGTGATGAAGCTGAGCGACCAGCGGCGTGTCTGCGTCATGGGAACCGGAGTCGGTGGTTTGTAAACCGTCTTAGCATCGCTGATGCAGCTTTGTACATAATAAAGCGAGTTTGGCAACCTGTTGGCGTCTGCGGTTCGAGTTGTGGATTAGGGGGTGGCTCTATCGGGCTAAGCCGTCCTGACAAGGACATTAAGGCCACAAGGACCTTAAGGCCCAAGAAACAAGGCCTCTGTGCAGACGCCGGCCCCTTCTCGGAGATGGATATTCCTTTTCACACGTGTTTCGTTCATTATGTTTCAGGATCACCCGCCGAGGTATGTAGTGCTTTCGTGGTATTGGGCAGCGAGGAGGAGCGAGACTGGCTGCTGAAGCGGTATCGATTCGCGCAGTTTTCAATCTTTCGGCCGTTGCAGCCGCGGAACTTGAGGTTGCAACGCAGATGGCCCTTGAGCCTTTCTGCTGCTCCGGAGCCATCAGACATAGTTTGGACCAACTTCTCTGACGCAAGGATCTTGGGGCCTGCAGCATTGCCCTGGCAGTGCGTGGTTCGAGTTTCCACGGTTGCCTTCTTGCTGGTCATGTTCGGACTGGGATCCGGAGGTTGTCTGCTAATATTCCTGGCCACACTGGGGGTCCCTGGTGAGGCAGCGATGCAGTGTGGCATTTGGTCGCTGCAAGACCCCAGCTTTGCAGCTTGGAACTCTGCCTGCAATTGCCTCTGTGCTTGCGAGCACGTGAAAGCTCGCCTGCTAGATACATCACAGTGTGCCCTAAATGACGTCGAGTCTTCGCTGGCAGTGCTGGCGTGTATTGTCCTCGTGGAGATGTTGCAAGCCATTTCATGCTGGGGATTGGGATGGCTGATGTCGTTCTGGAAGTTCAATTGTGCTTCGCAGCTCGAGGCTAGCAAGGTGCTCCTCACAGCTGTTGCGCAGGCTTGCGTGCCTCTGTCTCCCGCATGCAGTTTGTTTGCTCTGAAGTGGCTTTGGCAACACCAGGTGTTGACAACTCAGATCAGTGCATTTGCAGCCGAAGCTCAACTGCAGCAACTCGACTTGGCCTTCTACATCTATGCCATCCCGATCATATGTACTTGGTGCCTTCTGCGATGGCTGGTTATCATACCGGAGGCATTTCGAATCTGCAGAAGGTCCCATGCCACCAGCTTTATGCTTTGGAAGCATTATGCCTCCGTTGTGGCAGTTGTCTCTGTAACGATTGCCTGTCAGCCATTGGCACCCTGCCTCGCATGCATAGCTTGGGTGGGAATGCTGATTTGGTATTGCGCCATAAAGTCCATCATTGTCCGAGGTGTTGTGACTGCCGCCGAGCTCAAGAAATGTTGCCATCAAGCTTTTCTGACCTTTTTGCAGGTTCAGACGACAGGTAGCTCTGGTCACCATAGGGTTGCTCTTGTAGTCTCTTGCACCAGGTTCGCTACGGCATGCCAGTCAGGCTTGCACTGCGTACAGCACAGCGAATCGCCGCCATGCTGTGGGCAGCGAGTTTCATAGGCTGCTGCCTTGCGACTTGGGCCCTCCAGCAGCCTGACACGCACGGAGTGGAGGGCCTTCTGGGCCCGGCTCTTCCTAGCATGGTGTTAGCGACCATCCTGCTAGCGCTGCCTTGTCTTCTGTGGCTTTCTCGACGTCTGCTCTGGCTACTCTGTGGCATGGGCTCTCCCCCCGGAACATGGCGGCCTCTTATCCGAAATCTCCGAAATCCAAGACCAAATGAGGGCAGCGCAGGCAGTTGGTGGAGCTGGCGGACCCAGAAGACCCCTCCACGCATCAACTTCCATGAAGCTTGGCTCATCATGCGTCACCGGGCCATCTTGTCAACCTACAGCACCCTGGCCGGCCTAAACTTTTCAACCTTGAGTTACTGCATATTCGGACTGTGTGTTTTCAAATCTTACAATAGTGCTGCTCGCAGCGGCTAGAAGAAGTGATTCTGACAGACAGAACACAGCGTACCAAGGCCTGTCTGATCATCCAGAGTACCAGCAGCTTCTGAAGCTGCTCATGCCCGAACGAGCTCTGGTTCAAATGGAGAGCCCGAAGGAAGCATCATTGACAGGTTATCTGGGGCGGAGCATCGACATGACCTGCAGCCGGGCCGTCGTCCAGGAATCTGCTCCTCGCAGAGCTCCGCTCCCACCTTAAGACATGATTCGAGCATTATTGTTGGAACCAACTTCTCATGGCCTGCAACTAGGCCACAGGCCAGTAGTTGTGGATGTAGGTCTTGTAGGTACCGGAGTTGCTGATAATATGTTGGCAGCCGGGGTAGCGACGACATGTAGGAACATCGAATCGCGATGCTTCCACGACCTGCAGTTTGAGCTGCCACAAAAAGGGACAAAGGACAGGAATGGGGCGCAAGCCAGCAAGCATCCCATTTCCTGAGGCAGTCGCAGGTGCAGCAGCAGTTGGTGCAGCGCCAGCTCCAGATGCAAAACCAGTGGCTCGGCATATTGCCATCCACATGTTCTCAAAGACTCAAAGACCCGACTCGCCCGTGAACTTTCCACGGGAGTCTTGCTGCCAGGTCTCAGCTGCCAGTGCCAGGAACAAGCACGTACTGCCCCCAGAGTCACATTTTCAATGACCGTCGTTGGTTGAAACCGGGAACTTTTCACGCAAGCGAGCCTCATCGGAGCTGTTGCGTCGTCTTGTTCACAAACTAAGCCCCCGAAAAAATGGAAAAGGACCCCCTCCAGGACCCAGAAATCGGAGATTTAAGGCTCTCCCCCCCACACCTGTGGCCCGATATAGCATGTATCAAGAAGCAACTGGCCTCAAAGTCAATGGTCCCTCGATGCTCTTACACACGACAACCTTGTGCAAGCAACTGGCTTGAGCAGGCAGACCGAATGGGATGTTGGGCTCAAGCTCGTTCGACTCGAAGATGTAGCCAGGGTAGCCCTTGTACATAGAGTCAGAGAGTGACACCGAGAAGGGCCAGACGTGGCTGGAACATGATGTCAAAGAACATGTCCTTGACGACTCCACTCCCTGCTGAGAAGTTCCCGGAGTTCGATGGATACGCGGTCTTCATGCATCTCGCCCTAACTTCGATTAGCGGACCTAGCACTGGCTAAAAAATGCAGCTCAAACATTCCTCCTCGGTCTTGCCAGGAATGAGCATTTGGCTCGGGTCCCCGTTTCGGCGCTGACCGAAACACTTCCCCTCAGGCGTGGTGTTTAAACACATGACACCTCATTGAAAGCGGTGCGGGAATTCACCATGCCACACAATCATGCGCACCACGATTTCAGGCAGAGTGGTTCTGTGGTTGGGATTTAACCTGCTCTTAGCTGTCACCTGCAGTTTGCGCTGCAAGTGGGATGCGTTCACGGATTCCGAGAAGAAGGCCTACGAGGACTGTCTGACTACCTTGTTAGTTGCGAGGTCTTGGTCTACGCTCATGACTTTAGAGGCGTCCAGTGGCAGCACTTGTGTTTGCCTGGCTTGAGGACCGAGTTCCTTCAGGCACAGTGGTCCGTGTGCGTGCAGTGGCGCCTTTGCTCCGTTTCTCCCAAGTGATGGACGATGGCCGCCGCAAGCGCCAGAGAATCACAGAGCCTCGCATCCACAAGGCAAAGCCTCAAGCTTCCGAATGCTTTCTGGGCCTATCGAGTTCAGGAATGATTCGGTGAAAGGTGTTGGGCAAACAGTGCCTCCCAAGCACCTAGTGTGTCATCTGAAGCTCCAAGCTCAGGAGGCTGCCTGCAACTGAGACGAGACGTGAGGACCGGCTTTCATTATCCTTCATTCTGATGAACAATCTGTGAGCACCACCCCGAAATGTCCACCTAAGCAACCCGGAAACAGAGCTAAGAGTTCAGATCGAGGACAGTTCTTTGCGGGGCCGAGACCGAGTCGATCAGCCATCTGGGCAGTGAGAAGAGGTGATACGGTGATACGTCAATACTAAAAAGTCTTTTGAATTCGCGCGATTTTGGAGACCCCTGATCCTGGACCTGGCATGGGCGGAGATCATATTAATCCAGATTTTTGCAGCATGACAACTAGCATGAACCCGACAGTATCTGCACGTAGTTCCGACACAAGGCCTGCGAGGCCTTTCTGCCATTTCCTGCCTTGACGTTAGAAAGGATGGGGCCAGCTCCGATTTGTCGCTAGGGTATGCTAGAGTAGGTTGACCTCACTAGTGGGTCGCAGGATGTCGCAGGACCGTATCTCACAAAGTGGGTACACAGAATTTGCACACAAACAGAAAACATGTGCAAATTGACCAGCTCCGTTTAAGTGCCAAGAGCCGGTGGGGCGAGCCACTAGGTAATTGAGCCTGACATCTTGATTTTGTACTGTAGCCGCACATCGCGGCTGTAGCACATTGGACCGATATCACAAGACTTCTGGTGGAGAGGACATGGAAGGCACGTAGTCTACACCCATCATCACATACCCAAACCAGCCTTGGCGGAGCTTCGGTTGACTGTAAATATCAATGGCACCAGCTGCCAGTCAGAGCTTGGTGCAGAGTGCTTAGAGCCTCGATGTCAGGTGTTATGCATCAGGTTGAACCATTGTTGTCGGCAGTGGATGTAGTGGTAGGCCATGAGCAAGAAGCTTGCCTGCCCACACCCTGGCGAGGAAGGGCTGCAGAATCATGTGAACATGTTGCCTGCAAAAGCTCAGAAACAGCGTTCCGGCTCTTTGCCAGGGTTTACGTTGGCACCATGTGCTGATGCATCGTAGCGCTGGCTCGGGTGTTTGAATGCGCTCTGAGCGCATCTGTTGCAAGTCTTTGGCCTGCTGCCAAAGCACAGGACGAAGATTTTTGTCGCCCTTGCACAATCACGCAATCGGCATCTGTTGGCAAAGGCACCTCTTCAAACCACAAGGAGAGATCATTCAATAGGTGGAGCTCCTCATCCAAACCGAAGCACCAGTCTGCTGCTTCAAGCAAATGTCCAACATGACTTCTTACCAGGTTTGTCTTGTGGCGAGGTCGGCGCAATGAGTCTGAAGATTTGCTGCAGCTGCCTGATTGTTGAACTTGTGCCTTATACATGCCATGTCTTGCATCGATGGGCGAGGGGGATCCTGACAAGAAATCGAGACGGGAGGGACCTGCAGTTTACGCTTTCCATGGATGTGCTTCGACATCTCTAGATATAGTGAGTGAATGGTCTCACCTCGCGCCTCCTCTCCTTTCAACTGACACATGCGCTTCGGCGCCAATCCATCTTTGCTATACAGTGTCTGGAAAAGTCCTGATGCAGGTGCTCGCATTTCGTTGCGCATGCTATCGAAAATGTCGAAGCTGTTCCGTCTTCACATGTTTTCCACCAGGCCCGATCCATCCGGCAAGGCCAGAAGAGAGCATGTAATTGGAATGTTGCGGGCTGTGCTATGCCTCAACAGGTTTAGCTGATCGAAGCCACTTAAGACTTCTGCAAGCCTTCTGCATGTCCTCCTCCCCTTCTCCTTAATTACAAGCACCTTGAACTTGTCGATTGCCAGGGTACGCATCCAAGCTCGGGCACAGGCAAAGGCCGAGAGAGTGTGGGCCTCAGGCTGCGTTAATGAATACCTGCAAGGCTGTCAGGGCAGGAACACGTTACTGCAGAGCGCCGTGCGCTGCGGTGTGTATGTGGGTGCGGTATGGCGGCGTAAATCTGGTGTTATATTGTCAACAGTCTGTGAAGTCGGTCTCTCTGCTTTTCACATGTTCTATCACGGTTTCTTTTTTCATGTTCAACGCGCCTGTTCACAGCACCACCTCCGCCTGGCATCTCGGGCACGACTCCCATCAAGGCTGGGCTGTAAAGAGGCTTTGCAAAGCAACTGCGCGAAGCAACTGCGAAGCGAACGGCGAAGTGAGAATGTCTGAAGCTGCAGGCGGGAACAAGCGTGTCCAACCCCCATGGCGCGGCTCTGATTCTGAAGTGTTTTGCCATTGCCCGCGTCATTATACTCGGGGTATCGTGCGCCGCACATCATGCCTCATGAGGTGACAAGTCATCGGTGCTGAAGGCAACCTCATCAAGCAGTCCACAGCAAGCGCAGCAAGCCGATGAAGCACATCCGTTGCTTTGTCAGGCTGCACTGAATGCAAACAAGCCAATGGATGCGAGGCAAGTTCCGGTAGCTCAGGGCAGCGAAATGTGAATTTGGTTTCCGCTTTGACTTGCTGCATTGCCAGGGGAGATGAGGCTGGAGCCAAAGCCGGCCAATTCCTCCTCAACCTTGTAAACAACAAAGAGGCGCGTCTTCTTGATGGGTTCCTACACGTCAGGAGTTGAAGTCACCCAGCTGAATTGAGTCGGAATCCACTTAATGCACCAATTGGGGTCAGCCGGAGTATGGGGAGTGGGAGGAGCGTCCTGGAGCCATTCTCCTGCAGCAGCTGAAGGGTGGCCCCTCGCGAGGCATTTGTCTGTGTCTGTGTCTCTGTGTCTGTGTCTGTGTGTCTGTGTCTGTGTGTCTGTCTGTGTGTGTGTGTGTGTGTGTGTCTGCGTCTGCGTCTGCGTCTGCGTCTGCGTCTGCGTCTGCGTCTGCGTCTGCGTCTGCGTCTGCGTCTGCGTCTGCGTCTGCGTCTGCGTCTGCGTCTGCGTCTGTGTCTGTGTCTGTGTCTGTGTCTGTCTGTGTGTGTGTGTCTGTGTCTGATGCGATGCCGTCAATCTCTCAGAAGGTAAAGCGGCAAACGACTTGTCGGCATTTCGCACCGACAATGGCGCTGGAATGGCGCTGTTGCAACAGGTCAGGCTCAAAGTTTTGTCTTACCGCTGGTACCGATGGTGTGAGAACAAATATGCGTTTTTTGGCACAGATTATCGGCAATGGTAATTGTGTAGACTTTTGAAAGCAATGTATATTGTGTGTATAAATTTGATATCTACATCTATTGATTAATGTATACACACACATACCGAAAGGACAAAGTGCGTTTAGCAATTCAGGTCAAGTCCGGAAGCCAAAGTCCGAATCCGAGATTCCAGCGACAGTGCCTGGAGTGCCCACGTGAACATAGCAAGGACACCATCTGAGATCGTTTGAGCTCAGCCTGAGCTGAGGTGCTGCTGAGCCCAACAACAAGCCGGATTGGAACTCCAAAGGAGAAATCACGTTGACGGTCAGTCCACTGAGCGCATTGTTCCGTTCCACTCGTCGTTGCAATCTCTTGGCATCT